ATCCACATTCATACATTCCTTATATATAGCTAGGTTGATATCGAGTTTAGGGTATCACGAGAGGGAGAGATTGTAGCAAAGTTTTTGAGTTATTTTTCTTTGTTATAATAAGAGATATTCCTACAATTATTCGTGTTCATCATTCATCTTTCTATTGCTCTCAATAGCTGCATTGTCGTAAATACCTAAAATGTCCTTGAATTAAAATTTTAATTCAAAATTATCAAAATTATAAATTTCTTAATTTATCTATTGATTTATGGTTGAGATCGGATCTCACTGTTATGAACATGATTTGTGTGACTATTACATTATATAAGAATTTCATTTTCTCTTACAAACCTTGAAAAATTGCTCGAATCTAACCATACACAACATATCATATGAATATTTTTCCTTTTCGAATACAAGAATAATAAACAAGCATGCATTTGTGTGATCATGAATTTATAATCTACTTGATAACTTGATTTAAAATACTCGGTCATTAATGGTAAACCAAATCAAATCAAATCAAACAAACACGTCTGTAAATTTCATATGAAATAGGATTGAACGGTAAAAGTGAAGACGCTTGAACCTATTTTTGGTGAATCATACCAGGATTGTACAAATAGCATATATTTATCGGTATAACCGTAGATATTAACCACTAAAGCGACCCTTTCTTCTTCTTCTTCTTTTTCTCTTCTTCTTCTGATTGAGGGCCACTCCATTCAAACCCTAATCCTCCTCCACTTTCTTCTTCATCCTCCTCCATGCCCTCCTCATCAAACATGGCACCAGTGTTTGAGTGCACGGGTACTTGAACACTCATCACCGCCTCTTTTCCACGGCTCCTCCCTATTAACTTGAACCTCACTTTACTCTCAATATCAACCTTGAAAAACACCACTGGTTCGAACCCCATATTCATGATCGGCTGGATCCCCACTTGATCAGCCACCACAGTCTGGTTCCATGTGAACCCATCCACCGCAGGCATCTGGACCACGTCTATAAGACGTCTAGAATGGTGATTACCCTGGTAAAACTTGGGCACAGAATATTGCCATGTGAATTTGTGGTCGGTTTTTATTGGGGTGTATGAGATGGTAAGGTTGAGGGGATCATCATGAAAAAGCCCGATTGCTTTGTTTCGGTTTTGGAGCTTGATGTTAAAGAATATGGTGTCGCTTGGATCAGCATTCGATGTTTTATCAAAAGCTGGAACGTAAAATTTCTCTACTTTAAATGAAGGGTTTTCTGGATTCACATATAAAACCAGTAGGACTACTAGTAGTGGAACGAACACCAGGATACATAGAAAAACCCAAAGCCCAAAATTCTCTGGTAGATCATTGCAGCTCGTTCCCTTCATAGATATAGTGAAGAACTGAAGGAAAAGAGAGATCAAGATGTATATGAAAAAGATGGAGGATGAAATGTGATCCAGTGGGTGATTAGTTATATGGTGTAATGGCATCTTATATTTATTTAATCTGAATAAAGAATGACATAAATTTAAAAGTATATTTAGAAGACGAAGAAGAGGATGATGATGGTGCATACAGCATCGACTTTGGGCATTTAATAAGTACAACTACCAATTTGGCTTTATTTGTTGACAAACAGACACTTAGTAAACTAATAACACAGTGTTTACTTGGTTTTATGTAGTGGTATTGACACTTTGTGTTCCCTTGGTCCATGATGAGTCATGAATGAACTGAATGATCAATTTTTCGTATTTCGAAAGACAACCATGATCAGCCACGTCACGTGACACACTCGCAAGAAATATGATAGATGAAACCTGAATCCGGATATCCAACACAAGTGTGTTAAATCATTGTTGCCAAATCGGCACCCTTGACGAGGGTTTTCTGATTGCAAGTTATTAAACGCATGCACAAGTCGCAAGGGAGGTAATTACGAAATAGCATATATGAAGACAAGTGTTTCCCATCTGTTGAAGTGTTTGTTGCTGCATCTTTTTTTGGACTCAAATCACTTTTCTCCTCTTGGATCATTCCTCTCTTCTCAAAAATTTTGAAACCCAACCAACTCAATGGGTTTAGAATTTGGATGATACCCATAAACTTGGAAATGATTCTCATTTCTTCAAATCAAAGATACATACTTGATTAATTAGGGTTTATGGGTACGAGCAAGCTCAAACCAAACTCCACTTAAAATACTTGATCAGGGTTTATGAGTTAGAGGCCTTGTTATGTAAATTCACCCAAATTTCTGGAATGTATTACGATCTTCATTCATGGTTTCCATGATATAATTTTTTCTGTCTCACAAATTGTGTATTTCAAGGCATCAATCATACATAAAGTTTATTTTTATATTGAGAAGGGAGATCATTTTACTTCAGGTAACAAAACCAAACAGATAAACATCCAAACAAAGAAGTTAATAGACGTTTTCGATCAATTCCATGGAGCAAAACAATACAACTAAATGATGATGATGCTAAATAAGATAGAAACGAGCACAACGATGATAGGCGGTCGTTTGTCATACCAAGCATCAGACTTCACCAATCTAATGCCTTTCTTGTCAAACTGATTGCCCATGGTGATCCCATTGAACTCAATGTTCGCCGACAACAACAAACGATGTCTCTGATGGTAGCCGTCTACCTTGTGCCTCACATTGGCAATGAAATCAACCCTGAAAAACCCAACTGGTAATTGGGTCCTATTCACCCCACCATCTGTGATCACGCTTGGTGGTAACCCACGGGTCGGCAACGGGCCCATAATCCGCTTGGCCTTTCCGTTTCCTTGGTAGAAACCGTGCATCCCGTATTCACCTAATGCAATGCTTGTATTTTGGTCTCTGGGAAAGAAAGTTATGTTGACATATACCGGATCATCATAGTAAACTCCTGTTACTTGATTTCTGTTCTTGAGTCTGAGGTTGATGTAAATGGTTTGGGTGAGATTTCGGGTGGAATTAAGGGTGGGAACAAACAGTTGATCTAAGTGGACAGTAGGAAGCACTCGGGTTTTATATATGGCTAACACAAAAATGAAACGAATAATCTCCCATATGAACTCACCTAAATCCTCGCAAGCGTTCTTGGCCATTTGTAGGCGGTCGGAGACAAAATGGTGCTGAGCTGCAACGCCGGTGAGCAATTGCATTTATACAAACATTGACAGAATATATTTTATGTATAATATGTATTTCTCTTGATGAATTTGCTCTTGCTCTTCTGATCATATTAAACAAAGACTAATAAGGTTTTATATATATAAAAAGTCCATGTGAGTTGTTTCTCGAACTACACAAAATGTCAACTCTTTCACATAACTTGATGACGTTAATTTATGAATAAGCTACGCTTGCTGATAGATTCCAAATCCAATAAATGAGCTTAATTTAAATTGAAAATGTGAACATGCCAGAGTGAACGATCTAGTGGGGGTCTTTATAATTTCGATTGTAATGCAGGGTGCTGTTTGACAGTTGTTGAATGATTTAGTGGTTCTCTTGATATAGTTCAAAATGAAATATAATTGTTTGGTAACTGTTTAGAATGAAATTAGGGCGCTGAATGGTTAAGGGAGGCCTAGGATACAAAATCATTCAGAGAGTTTTGAAACCATTAAGAGACAGACTCTTTTTTTTGCCAAACAAGATTCACCTCTTAACGATTCAGAATATGTCTCTTAATGGAACTATTAAGAGGTAAACAAACAACCCCTAGTTGTTGTTAGAAGACGTCTACAATTTGGTCTTTATAGTTTAGTGTTTTCTTTAACCAGAAGGGTGGTGACTGATTGGTTTGAGTTTGACTCCAAAGGTCAAAAGTACTATGAGTAGGTTCAAATCCAAGGAAGAATTTGTGCACCCATTTTGTATTGAAATCTAGTCACAACCTTGTCACTAAAACAAAATTACCAACAATTTCCATTGCCAGTCTTTTTCGTGGTTAATCTATTTAATTATGTTTAACCCCATATACGTGTAGGTTAATTTTAGTACGAGTTAGTGATGAATAACTATCATGGCGACGTACTCATGTCATTGGTATGTTTAGGTGTCGTCACGAACAACCAACTAAAGCAAGCAATTTTAGGGTTTAGGTGCAATATAATTTATGCATACTTGTTGACCAAATTAACATATACATGTTACATTAGGAGGGTTTTTATTGTACTGGTTGTTAATTGTTCATAATTGCAGTGATTCCAAAAGAGTGTTCACTGATAAATAAGTTTAAACCAATCAGGGCGCTACCTTTCTTAGATGTCCTATTGATAACCGCTATTTTTTTCTAAAAGAAATAATTTCTTAGCATGATTCAAAATCTATTGTAAAAGTGTCAGGAGATTTCAGGTTCAAGTCCAAGAAGGAACAAAAATCCTCTTGTGGCTACGGAGGTTCAAATGCGGTAACTCCAGACTACCTGCAAAGCAGGTGGTTGCCCTAAGATTAATCGGCTTACATGCGAGTTGGATATCTAGGTTAATTTAAAAAAATATGATCTACAAAAAAAAATCAAGAATTACACAAAAATACCGTTTGTAATACTAAAAAAAATATGTAAAAACCCATAATTTTACTCCATTGTTTGATAAATATACATAAATACTTTCTTTCAATAAAATTATTCTGGTTGGGTCCAATTATGTAATTTAAAAACAATGAAAGTTGTGAAGGAAAATATTTATGTCACAAGTATGAATATATTTTATATAAATAACAATTAAATTAATCGGGTATTTGTAATTATAATTTAGTTGCAATGATGAAATTATTTTGTTAAATTAACTCATTATCAATATTTATCTGATTTTAATATCAATTTCATTTAATTATAATACAAATTAACATATATAAATTAAATCATAAATTATACAAAATATGTTATTTTAATGTGAGGTCCACGAATTTAACGTTTTTTTGAGTGTGGTTAGAGTTGATTTTTTTTTGGTTGATGGATCCATCAGATTTGGTGTTTTTGATATGTGTTTTAAGGTTGGAGATGATCTAAACTGACATTAAAAGAGATCAAATTGTTGTGTCTTTTAAAATCAACAAACACTCATCAGTTTTTTGGAACGTACTTAGGTTTCAGCTAAATGGGCACAAGATCTCGATGATGCAAATCATATTAATATTTTTTAAGTTATTTTTATAAGCAATCTCAAACACCCGGCTCACATAATCTATGATTTTTGAATACATAATCGTTTGATTCAAGAAAAAAATTGAAGCCCGTTTACAGATCATATACGAAGATGATACTTATGACAGTAGAAACCAGCAACACCACCACCTGACCACCACTACTCCAACCAATCCGTGAGGCCACACTCGTCATAATCCCGTGTTTGGTGTACAGTTCACCGGAGTTGGGGTTTACAGGCACCAGAGCACTGACCACCAGCAGTTTACCATGATTCCCAACCAACTTGAACCTCACCTTAGTGGCAATATCAACCCTGAAAAGCTGCAACGGCTCCAACCGCGTCATCATAGCCCGTGAACGTGGAGTCCAGGCATTCTCCGCCACCACCGTCTGGTTCCACACCGCCACATTCTCCCCAACCATCTGGATTTCGTCTACCAACCGTCTTGATTGGGCGTTGCCCTGATAAAACTTAGGGACGGAATACTGCCATATGAATTCGTCATTGGTTTGTTTAGAGGTGTATGCGATGGTGAGGTTGACGGAATGATCGTAGTAAAGCCCAATGGCTGTGTTTTGGTTTTGAAGCTTGATGTTGAAGGCAATGGTGCTAGATGTAGAATTATTGGCTGTCTTATTGAAAGCTGGAACGTAGAATTTTTGGACAGAAAATGCAGGATTGTGAGGGTTGGTGTATAATGGAATCAGAAAGAACATCAATGGAAGTCCTATGGAAGACATGCAGCAGCATGATACTGCTACGCATGCAGCAACACCATCCGTATCGTCCGACATATTGAAGAAGGAAAAGAGCAGAAGTGAGTTGAGGAAATGAAAGGTGATTCAGTGGATATGGTCTGAAGTAGAAGATGAAGAGTTTAATCTTGTAATTACTTCAATTGTATTTTATATGAATTTGGCGTTGACTTGGATGGATCAAGCCTTGGTATTAGTAAACGCAAGTAATTAGTTGTTAAATATTGATTGCTAACAGTGTGAAGGAAGCCATGAGCCATGAGCCATGAGCCATGTCATGATCACGCTCTCTGTGACCTCATCTTTATAAGTTTTAACTATTCTTGTTTAATTAGTTTTCCAACTCAGAGTTACAAGAACTCAGAGTTACGTTTCTGAATTATAAGATGAAGTCAGAGAGCGTGATCATGAAAGTATCAACTCAGATTTACAAGAAAGTATCTACGAGTGTAACTCTGAGTCACAAAAATTCTGATATCTTATAACTCAAAAATGTAACTCTGAACTTCAACTCTGAAGAGGAGTTCAGAGTTTTATTCTAAGTCTGGGAATAAACTATATAACTAAGTTTGGAATAGAACGGTTCAGAGTTATGTTGTAAGTCTAAGAAATATTCAATATATGATGACTTCATGTTGGTGATTTGTATCACTAATGTCATTTAAGTGTAATATGATTAAATTATTGACCAATGTAATCATGATAAATATCGAACAAGTAAGGAAGGTATGGAGTGCACACTTCTTTGAGTTTATTTTGATTTATGGGCAAAACCTCTAAACAACGAGGGTCTGAGGACAGCGCCCCCGGTGGCAGGGTCCAAGGGGCAGAGCCCCTTGCTGGGGTTGGAAAATGCTTCAAAAATCCGAATTTGAAACTTTAAATCCGGTTTTGATGACCACTCCAGAGTTAAATTCAGATTTACAACTCTGAATTTTTCCAGAGTTATGTTGTAAGTCTGGAGGCTACTCCAGAGTTAAAGTTAGACTTAAATTCAGAGTTAAATTCAGACTTATAACTCTGAATTTTCCCAGAATTATATTGTGAGTCTGGAGGCCACTTTAGAGTTATATTCAGACTTAAATTCAGACTTACAACTTTGCATTTTCCCAAAGTTATGTTGTAAGTCTGGAGGCCACTTCAGAGTTAAATATAGTTAAACCACGAAAACAGGAAAATAAACGTGTAGAGGGACATATGTCACTTAAATAGACATATTTGAACCGTAAGTGAAAATTGTGTCTAGATACATGTTTAGACAGGAAAAATCAATATATATATATATATGTATATATATATGTATATATATATATAGACTTGAGATCAGTTTGTTTTCGTGAGACTCGTGAGACCACTTTTTAACACTTGAAACTTTACATCAAAACGTTGTGAAAGTAACTTCACAGTGTTTTTGTTGTGAAGGTTCGGCTTTTTTTGACCTTCACAGCTTTTAACCGACGGATTAACGATGGATTACGCTCTTTACGACGGATTTTTCCGTTGTTGATACTCCTATTTTTGCAGTGCAAAACTATTACAATTACTATGGAGAAAACAAACTTGATCAGTCCATTATTTTATAACCAACACATAATTTGACATGTATATATTCATGATTAATTAATAATAACCCATATGTTCAAATTAACTCACATATTACTTATCTATACTATCTTATAAAGCATTTGGCTAAAACTCTTAAACTTGTTCATCCCTAAACGATTTCATCCCATATCTGAATTCGTGTAACTAACTGCAGATAAACACAATCAAATACAGGATAAACATATCATTTTAAATATAAAAAATCTAAA